TAACAACGTGAGTGAGGAAATTCGAGTAGTTTTGACCCAGAAAGCGAAATTTGAATATCAGACACTTAGGTGCAAGATTATGCCAAAATTTCGTGTTTTCCGTCCCGTTTTTGGTCATATCTCGGAAGCAAAAGGTGCAAGAATTCTCATTTTTACATCATTTCAGAGAGAACTAAGTGGCCTTTTTAGAGAGTGCGCCATTGATAAGGAAATGTTGGCAGTTTTCTCAAAAAAGTCTTGGTTTCACGAAGTTTTAGATTTGCGGCTTTTTTTTGAGCGGCAAAATCGACTCAAACATGACGTTGCTTTTTTCGAAGTTTCTCAAGAACCATTCGAGCCACAGAGTTCGTTTTGGCATCGTTGGATAGAGAATTGAAAACTCGATTGAGTTATAACAACATAAGTGAAGAAGTTCGGCCAGTTTTGACCCAGAAAGCGAAATTTGAAGATCAGGCACTTAGGTGCAAGATTAGGCCAAAATTTCATGTTTTCCGTCCCATTTTTGCTCATTTCTCGGAAGCAAAGGGTGCAAGAAGGCTCATTTTTACATCATTTCAGAAAGAGCTAAGTGGCGTTTTTAGAGAGTGCGCCATCGATAAGAAAATGTTTACAGTTTTCTCAAAAAAAGTCTTGGTTTCATGAAGTTTTAGATTTGCGTCTTTTTTTTGAGTGGCAAAATCGACTCAAACATAGCGCTGCTTTTTTCGAAGTTTCTCAGCCCCCATTTGAGCCACAGAGTTCGTTTTGGCATCGTTGGATGGAGAATTGAAAAGTCGATTCAGTCGAAACAACGTGAGTGAGGAAATTCCAGTAGTTTTGACCCAGAAAGCGAAATATGAGTATCAAACACTCAGGTGCAAAATTATGCCAACATTTCATGTTTTCCGTCCCGTTTTTGCTCATTTCTCGGAAGCAAAGGGTACAAGAAGGCTCATTTTTACATCATTTCAGAGAGAGCTATAGTGGCGTTTTTAGAGAGTGCTCCATCGATTAGAAAATGTTAACAGTTTTCTCAAAAAGTCTTGGTTTCACGAAGTTTTAGATTTGGCTCTTTTTTTGAGTGGCAAAATTGACTCAAACATGACGCTGCCTTTTTCGAAGTTTCTCAGGCCCCAATTGAGCCACAGAGTTCGTTTTGGCATCGTTGGAAAGACTATTAAAAACTCGATTCAGTTATAACAACAAGAGTGAAGAAATTCAGGCAGTTTTGCCCCAGAAAGCGAAATTTGAAGATCATCTACTAAACTGCATCCCCATTGCCACTTCCACAGTTTTCCCGTTGAAAACTTTCTCTTTCTTAAAGCAGAGACCTGAACAACATTTTCCACCTGGTCCTTGCCTGTTATTACGTTTTTTCGACGAAAATTCGCATCGGCACTAGCCGAAACATCAAACAGTGGCTGTTAACACGTTAACATAAATTAGCCCCGATCGCACATTAGGAATTAATCGTATTAGTATTGGCAAGGGCCATCACACAATGAGAAAACCTAATTTTTATTCAGTTTACTGGTCCTGAGGGAGGCCCGGATCCCCTAATAACAAATTTCGACAGCACATGCCATCCTGCTAAGGGTAGATTTACTTATCGCATTAGTTGGGCTCGTAAAAAGGAATATTTTCGACAACCTGTGATTATTATCGACTAATCCCCTAATCCACCCAGGGGTTGGAACTGTAATCGAACATTTTCCTGTTAGACTTGCCTGGCATGGGAACTGTTCCGAGCTTTAAAAGTAGCTACTTACATGGATGAGACGGCGTAAATGGGTATTCCAATGTGGGTAGTCGGGGTTGAGGGGCGCCAGGGTGAAGGGCAGGTGGGCAATGGTAGCAGAACATTCCTCTGCCACCCCCACCTGCAAGCTGAAACAAACAGGTTTCGTTAATTTACCCCCAACTGTTGTTAATCGTTCGAAACCGATCAATTCAATTAGAGTCTTAACCGTTTGATTGGCTGCAATCGGCCAACGGAATTGTCAACAATGCATTTTCCATCAATTGGTTTATTTGATTAGTTGATAAGTTTCTGATTTTGGATCATTTGCAGTGGGTTTGCGTTAAATTCTCTGTTCCCAGTGACGCTGTGCTTCTTTGCTGCGAACATCCTGTATAATCAGTCAATTTGATTGAAAATGATCAGCGGTGGTAACTTGATTGGAACCGCTACCGGTACCCATCTAATTTTTTACAGTAATTTAAGCATAGGGGTGGGAGTTCGTTCGGCTAATCATCCGGAGTATTTTCGGTTTCATTATGCATCAAC